ATATTTATTAATTTGAATAAGTTAATTTGAAATATAATCATTATATATAATTTTAAATCCTTCAAATCAGCATGAAAAATCTATTGTAATTTAGCCAGTTTTTCCAGTAAATTTTTAATAAATCTGGTAAAATTTTACGATTCTGGCCAGATTTCTGGTATATTTTAAAAATAAATTAAGTTTACCGAAGATATTTTTTAATTCTAATCATATATTCCAGTTGAAAAAATAAATTTCCAGAATTGTTATGCTTTGTCGGTAAAATTCTGAAATTTTTGCAAACTTTTTTTTACGCTGCTTCAAATACTTATATGTTATTATATATGAAAATTATTAATAATAATTAAATTTTAATAAAATATATCTAATAAACAATTATAAATGAATTTATTGGCAAATTTTAAAAATATATTAATAGGTAATTTTTTAAAAATCAAAATAACAGTATTTTATATTATATGATAAAATCAAAATATAATTGGCAAAATTTATGTAATAAAATAAAAAACCTGCTATGCTTCTATAATTACTATCATATCTATTCTTAAAATTTTATATTAAAAAAACTGTTTATAGTTACAGTTATGTAAAGAATATATTAAATTACTTGACATCTAATAATTGTAAAAGATATATTATAACTTGTTAAAATCATCTTATTAAGATAAATTGAATATTGCTTAATGCATTATTTAAAAAATAGTTATTTACCATTATTTAAATTAAAAGATAGATTTTGCATTAATTTTTTACTTATTAAAAATATAAATAGATATATCTTTCAATATTGAACTTTGTAAAAAAAAAGGATTAATTGTAAATTAAGAAGCATTAATTAAATGTTTATAAAGAAAAAATTAATTTTTTAAAAAACCTAAATAAGAATATATCTACTTTTCATTATTAATAAATATTCATTATTAATTTCTTTTTTTGCAAATTATTTTACTTTTTTTTAAAATCTTTTAGTTTTTCATAACAATATAAATATTTATTGTTGTAAAAAAAATATAAATTACTAAATTAAGACATAGTTAAAAAATTTTTTGTAATATTGCAATTAAAATTTATATTACATTACTACTAAATATACTATTTGAACAAAAGTAGCAAGAATTTATATTTTATTAATTACTTGAAAATATACATAATAATAAGAAAAAATGTATTTGTAACAGCCTGTTACATATCTTATTTGTAACATCCTTTTTTTATTTTTTTTTAATAATAAATTTAATATGTGTTTCACAAATAAAATTTTTATATGCAAAATTTAATTTGGAAAACTTTTACTTAATATATTTAAGACAGTTTCATAGACAAAATTTTAAGTTAGAAGCAGTTTCTTGAAATTTTTTAAAAAATTCTTTTGTCTTAGTTACACGACTGATCTTTTGTTTTTGTTTACATTACGCCTGATCTTAAATTTTAATTGGATAAAATTGGGGGTTGTTACAAATAAGACGCGTAACAGGCTGTTACAATTAGATTTATCCTAATAATAATATCTAAAATTTTAATATGTGTTAACATAGACAATACAGAATATATATTCAAAATTTTATTGTTCTAGTATTTATATAACTATATTAATGAAAAAAAACCCAGAAAGAAATTTTAACAATTATCTATATATTAAATAATAAAAATAAACAAATAGTTTGATACTATCAGTAGGACCCTGGAAAATCCCACAGGTCAAAAAGTGAAAAATCAGGCACCAATCAGTCACCAATCAGGTACTTGATTGGTAACTGATTGGTGACTGATTGATGCCTGATTTTTCACTTTTTGACCTGTGTCCTTATATAGGTAAGGTCCCAAAAATATTTTTTTACTAATAGCTCTAAGCAAAGGTTTTTACTATGATCGCTAAGCATTGTTGATATCTAACCTCAAAAATCATACGAAAATAAGCAATTTAATATTCTAACCTAATAAAATTTTCCATTTTTCTATTTTCGAATTTTTATAATTAATTAGCTTTATCTTTAAGAATCAATAAATTTTATTAATCAAATTTAAAATAAAAATAAAACATATTACATTAATAATTTTATAAGATTTTCTTGATAATATCTTTTCTTCCGAAATATTCAAAATAATATTTTTTTTTATTACCCAATAATTTTAAGATATTTCCTTCAATTAAAATGCCAGACGGTAAAATATGATAAAAATATTAAACGCTAAATGATACGTTAAAATATAACAACCCTCTTGAACTATATCACTAAAAAGATCAAGATGAATAGAGATGTAAACATGCAATAAAATATATGAAACATCATCTAATGTTATTATTGGTTCATTGGCAAAACAATGATTTGAATAAGCTTTATAATAAATAGCCATAATCTGACCAATACACATTTGATTTTCATATTTAACAAATACATAGTTTCCTTTAATTAATGGTACATCTCTTGAAACATTAGCATTCTCTATATCTGGAACTATAGAATTATTAATATTAAATCCTTCTGAAATCAATAACAAATTAATATAACTTAATAACTTACTTTCGATTAAAGATTGCTAGAACCTTTTTTTATTTGACTTCTGTTTGTTTCTTAACTTTTCTAATTCCTCAATATGCAACTGAGCAAGAGTTAATGAAATACTATTCTATTTTCCTTCCATCGTTTTTCTCTTTGAATTACAAAACGTTAATTAGAATCTTCATTTTTTGAAAAGAAAGAGACCAAATTACTGGCTTTATTTGGCATAATAGAATTTAATGAATTTAAACCTGAAGATATTGATTTTTTTATTTTTTGTTTTAAAGGTTTTGAACAATAAGCTTCATGATGAAACCTTTGAAGAATTAAACTTTCAAAGTTCAGATTATCATCCAAAAGAAATTGGTATTCATTATCAACTACAAAAAATTATAATTAATAATTATATATAATATAATAAATAAAATAAAACTTACCACTATCTCCACCATTGATAATTGACAAGTTATTTGGTTTTTCATTAATTCTTTTAAGTTGGAACCGTCCTTCATTAAACATTAGATTAGAATAATCACTATCAAGTATTTTTGCAGAACTATGTTTCATAATTACAAATACTTCGTTTAACGCAGCTGGAATATCTGATTCGTCACCTTTAGATGTTTCACTTTCTATTTCACATTCATATCTACAATTAATGCTTAGTGATGCTTCATTATGATATCTATCATTAAAAGTAATTACTACTTTGGCTCATTAATTACAATAGGCAATTCTACTGGTTGAAGCATTTGAAGAAATTCTGCTAATTCACGAGTAAATTGATAAGAATTATTTAAGGTTTGTAGAATTTGATTATCATCAGGTCATAGGCGAAGCATTTCTAAAGGATTATCATCAATAGAATTAGAGTTACATTCGAATTGATAACCTATAAACAAAATAAATAATAATGTAAATAAATCAAATAAATAATAATGTAAATAAACAAAATAATATAAAATTGTAAATTATTTAAAAAAACTGAAATGACCTTCTCTTACAGATTTTTCTTTATTAAAATTCAACTTTTCATTTCTTAAAGCCTTAGTGTGTTGTGAGATTTTTGGAACCATTTGAATTAATTCTGCAAAGTCAAAATCTGAATTAATTTGACGTGCAATACCAAATAAATATTCTACTGGCTCAGAACCATGAAGCTAAGGTAATAGTGGAATTAAAGGATAAAAGTCTCGATGTGCTTTAACTAAAAAAACCATTGATTCACATAAAGAATTAAGAATTGTAAAAGTCTGGTCGGCTAAAAAGTTATTGCGAATAAAAATAAAATCTGAATATTTTTTTGCTAAATGTTCAATGTGAAACCGCCAAAGTCTTAAAATGAAAAATCCAGTCATTAATATACGAATTCGTTCTAAAGGTGCCAAATTTCTATTGAGATAACTATCAACAATTTCGCCTTATTTGAATAAAAGAATAACGTATTAATATAATTTTCTAAGTTATTATATATATTATATTATTTGAATACATACCCATAATAAATAAATAAACAAAAAAACCTTTATCTTTGAGTTTTAACTGATAATTATGTGATACTAATTGTTTTAAATTAGCAGAACAAAATGTCCAGTAAGCTGCACCATTATATCATTTTTATACATCACAGAATCATGGCAATTAACTTGTTTAAAAAGCTGATCGTAACGAACTGATGAATTTCCAAAGGTCAAAAGTCTTGTATCTGACATTATTGCATTTCTTGTAGTTTTTTTTGCATGCTTTAGATCTTGAACTGAGATTATAAGACCAATTAATTCAAAAATAGAGCAACTGAAATTTATATGCAATGTAAAATTATAAATAGAAAGTCTTTCAGTGTTTGAAGAATTTAATATATTTTGCTAAGCTCGAAATTCTACTATTGTGCCATCTGAACCTAATGAAAGAATATGGAGTCCTAATTGAGGAGCAATTTCTTGAAGTAATTTTTTATGTAGCTGTGTAATATCATTTGCACTATCAGATCCTTTATTTGGAATTAACGCTACAATTACTGGAGGAAATTTTGGTAATAAAATCTAAAATAATTAAAAAAAATTCTTTAAATTTTATGATAATATTTTATATAAAAAATAAAAAATTTCTAATCTATTACCTGTAATATGTATACATGAACATCTTTAGCAATAGCATTTTCTTCCTTAATTTTATTAATAGTACTTGGAATATCACTATATACATTTATAATAGTTTCTTCTTTTGACAAAGTTGAACCAATAATGCAACCAAGTATAGGTAAATATCGTAGCCTTTCTTTCAATTTTGTATTGTCGGTCATTGCTGCTATAGGACCATCATAACCAATAGTATCAAATATCAATTAGCTGCTTAAATCGTGCTATATTTTCAAAGCACAATTCAGGATTAGTTAAATGATTTTTATTATTATTACGTAAATATCTAATATAATAAATAAAAAGTAAATAATAATATTAGTTTAATAATATTAATGTATTTGTATTAATAGACATTTAATTAACGAATTGATCGAATACTTCTTCCTTCTAAATTTTGTCTAAATAAATCCAATATTCTAAAACTAATTCCCTCTAAAATAACTAGAAAACTAGTAAATTCTTCTGAATATTTAATATTTTGCTTGCCCATATGTTTTGATTTTTTTTTTGCAACATCACACATTACTTCGTATAATCCCATAAATACTGGTTGTTCTTTAAACGCCTCTTTTAACGCTAAATCAGCTATAGTTATTCAAGAGTTTGCCGTATTATTCTTCCTGTTATTATTGAGTAAATTCCAAACAGTACGAAGGTTTACATTTTGCAAATATTTTTTTAATGCATTATCTTCCCAGTAGTACACAGGTCGAAATGCTAAAAATCGGCAAAAAAAATGGCGCGAAAAGCAGTGGCTATTTTTGGCTATTTTTGGCTATTCTTAGCTATTCTTGGCTGTTTTTGGCTATTTGCGAATTAACCTATACTATTTGTAAATAGTTTATATAAATTTGCGAATAGTTTATGCAATTCTAGCCATTTTTTTTGCCTGTTTTTGGTCATTCGACGTGTGAGTGTTTTGGTGTGAATTTAATACTACTTGGTAAAGGAATTTTTTTTCTAATTTTATTAGAAAGGTTTTTACTAAGATGAAGTGAGTTACAATTATTACAAATATCACTTCTTTCTGCAAATCCTGTACAGGTTTTGGCACATACACAATTTCCTAATACAAAATAATGTAAGTTCATTATTTATTTTTAAACCATTAAAAATTAAAATTAATAATTTACCTGATCGATCAATTTGCCAGACACTTTCTGCAAATAAAGCACAATTTAATTTTCTTTTCCGAGAGTAGTTAAGTTTTTTCTGACTAAATTTACTAAAAATTAAATTTGGAAATAGATCTTGTGCTATTGTCTCAATACGACGTGTTTCTCCAAATTGAGCTGGAATACGTTGAATATACATTGATATTTGTTCAGATTGAAGTCCATGACAAATTAACCGTTTATAAGATTTTGTTATATTTGATATATCTTTATTAATATTAATTAATAAAGGAACATTATCATTTTCTTTGTCTTCTATTTCATCTATTTGTAACAAATCATCTTCATCCATATTATCATAAATATCAGAATCCCAGTTTTCATCATCTTCTCCACTATCTTCATTTGTTTTTTCAATTGGGTTTGATTTGCATCCAGAATTAGCAACGTGTCAATTAAGATAATCTTCAGTATATCATCGGTTTAGCTTAATTATTTTACTATATATGCAAATTACCTTTTTTGCATTTATTATATAGGCACAATTAAGGTTGCTTGTCTAAACCTCTTCAAAATCCTACGATTAGTTTTGTCAAAATTTTACTATAGATTTATTATAGTTTCGGCAGAGTTTCAGCAGTTTCGGCATTTATAATAAGTTTCAGCAGTTTCGCCTTTCTCCAAAGTTTCGCCAGTTTTTTAATATAACTTTAATATAGTTTCGGCAGAATTTCGCTTTTTGGCAAAACGCCATCTTGCCTAAACCCCTAGGTTTCGACAAGCAACCTTAGGCACAATACTCATATTTTGATAATCTTTCTTTACTATATTTATGAAAAGTCATCTTTATCGATTGTAAATCAAATTCTTTGTAGATGAAAGAGATTATCTTACATAAAAATTTTACATATCATAAAATAATATAAGATCACGTGATTATATAATTAGTAATCAAAATCATGATAAAATTAAGCAACTGAAACCCCTTAGTATTCCAAAAAATACTAAAAATATGCAGATCAATTATCTTACATTTGGGTAAAATTTTGCTGAAGTATTGATAAATTCTTACATTATATAATTCTTCTATGTTGGCTAAGCACTTTGGTACCTTACATATATAAGGATTTTCTGGGATCCTTATCAGTTTATTTGAAATTATATATAATAATGATACCAAAAATTTTAATATGTGATAGTACAAAATCTTAATTAATAGAAAAAACCCATTTCTCATATATAGGGAATTTAACATATATTATTAAAAAATAAGTATATTTAATAAAATATAAAGTAGACATTTTTAATTATAAATTATAAAAATTAATAGTTTAATTTATATTAATTATTGGAGAAAAATTTGGCTGGACCAAATAATAATACTATAATGGACATAATTATATAGAGACTTATACAATTCTACGTTTATGTTGAATATACAAAACAATAACAATAATAATAATATTAATCTAATTAATATAGAAAACTTCTTACACAATCAACAAATACGGTACGAAAAACAACAACAAATAGACCTAGACGCGTTATACCTCACTATTAAAATAATATTAGCTAATAGTATATGTCAATGCCCTTATTCAAATAAATTATTTTAGCTTATAAACTTACCCATATTTTGTTAAAAAATTTTGGTAGTTTTTATTTATTACAAATTATATTATGTCTATTTCTCAAAAAGGAATCATAGGAAAACTTGCTAAAAAAAATATAAATCCTATAGAAAAGTTCCTGATGATATACTATTTAATCAAATTACTTTAAATAATTATAATGAATAATAAATTATATATAAAAAATTAAAAAAATTATGCATAATTCTAATTAACATTAGATATTGCATTAGCTAATCAAATTTATTTTAAGTCATGTGATTTTGTATTATGTCAGCAAAAAAAATTGAATTTGCTTAATGTATTTATCTTTTTAAGAGCTATTTAATTTAAAATTTTATAAAATTCTGACCATTAGATCATAAGATATAAGGAGTACCTACTTAGCTAAAAATGAATATTTTTCTGAAATGCTATTGTAATGATTTTTCAATATTTTTATAATACTTATATAATTGTAATATTATTTTGTAAT